AGGTCTATGTCCACGGCCAAGGACTGGCAGTTTTGTTTTGGCCCTCGAAGAAATCTTTACCACTCAAGGTAATTCAGGACTGTGGTAGTGAGATAGTAAGAAAAAAAAACGAAGACATGATTTGATCACCTTTTTCAACCACCGACACTATTATATGTCTAGCATGCAGAATTTATAGCTCGAAGGTAAAAATGTTAAGACAGAAGGTTTAACAAAACAATTCATCTAAATGCTCTCAGTGTTCCTTCATCAGTTTGCGATCTAATAACTTTTTATGAATGGTAATATGTCAAGCCATTTTTTATCATAAGGTTGGGAAACACACATACATATTATCTTTGAAATTTTTATGAATGGTAATAGTTCACATATTTATCTTTAGTTTATCTATTGCTGTGTGTTGTGCCTGCATTACATTGCGGAATAAATAAAAAGGTCTCTAAATGCTAAAAGATGGATTTATTGCACAAAAAATGAGACAACTCTAGAACTGCCATTCCGATTATATCTTGGGGAAGTTTAATGACTAATTATTTTGATAACTGTACCCTCTCTTCATCTCAGTTTTAAACTTTTGATCTATCTTTTTTTCATCACATAGTACAAAAGGGAGAGAGATAATTAGGGATGAGTTCTTTGTCATGTTTTCTTGCAGGGGGAACCGTTGACATTTTGGCACAGCTGTGAGGCCAATTATTTACTTCTCCATGTTCTACTGCTTCAATAGTACAAGGTCAACAATGGTTGATAGCTATTGTGCTATTAACACTTGTGTGCCGCGTGACTGGGGTTGGTACTTGAGCTTTATTTGTTCCAAAGTTAGCACTTCATTAGATCTTTATATGTTACAACCTTTTTATTTAAATTATTTGCATATATTGCTTGGGGCATACTGTAATTGTGTGTGCATGGGGGGTGCCGGCTGTGCCATGCTGGTGCCGAGATTTGGCTGGCAGCGCCGCCGGCCGTCTGCTGGACCAGAAAGGGAGGGCCTCCCCCAGCCTTGCCGGGATGGGAGGGCGGGGGCGACCGTGGATCCAGCTGCAGGCGGCCACGGAGGGAGAGCCCGGCCGAGATCTGGGCTGGACCAGAAAGTCTGCTGGACCCGGCGCGCCGCCTCCCACACGTCGCTTGCCGACCAAGGATGGGAGGGGCGCGGGGCGACCGTGGATCCAGCGGCACCATCCTCCATTGCGGCGCCTGGCTCGCTTGCTACTCTTAATAGACTGGACGGAAGGCCATATAGGGAAGAAATTTTTGTTTTCAGGCCTTGTAGATAAGTTCAAAAAAAAGAGACCACAGAAGGAAGACACAATTTTTTTGAAGGCCATACAGCCGTACAGGTAAATATCTCTATTTCAATAGATTTACTAGCAGAATCAATTCATTTTCTAATTTTGATTGTTTAATTGCATAGGTCGGTACATTTCCTCAAAAGTTGGAATGGGAACTTAGGATGAAACTTGTGTCCATGTGGATGCTACTATAATTGGAGTCAATATTTGTGGATGAATTTTAATTGTATTGAAATAATCTTGGTTAAGTAAATATTTGGTCATCACTTAGTGGAGCAACATGTAGTTGATACTAGAAGACTACCCCGGTGTGTGCTGCGGGATTTTCTTAAAAATAAATCTGTTATATACGTAGCATTACTACATGGCATTCTGTATAATATGTGTATATATGAATTTGACTTGCATGTTATTTTATTATATCAGATTTGATAAAAAATTGATAAACTCATAAAAGAAAAACTAATAGAATATTTGATTAATTATAGAGGAACAGATGATGAAACAAAATATTGCACATGATCGAGATGACATGAATATTTTTTTGTAATTAATAAAGGATGACATGGACTTAGTGGGGAATGACGTGGACACCTTGCATGAAGAGATAGAACATCTAATGGGTCACTTAGTGGGAAATAATGTGGATACCTTGCATGAAGAGAAAAATCATCTATTGGGGTTTAGCTTTATGTGATGAAACAAAGTATTGCACATGATAGAGATGACATGGACATTTTTTGTAATTAATAAGGGATGACATGGACTTAGTGGGGAATGATGTGGACACCTTGCATGAAGAGAAAAATCATCTAGTGGGGTTTAGCTTTATAAGAGTATATGATTAGTAGACCAATTTGCTTTTATTGTGATAGTAAAACTTAAATATTTGTGGATTAATGAATGTCAGTTTGATTGTATGAATGCTTGTGTTCTTATGTGTTTGAATTTGAACGAAAAAAATAATTACATATTTGAATTCAAATATAAAATTTATATTTGGATTCAAACTAAGTTTTCTATTAAATGCTTTCTGCAAGAGGAATGTGATTTGGCATGTCAAGTTGTTTTCTAACGGCCTGAATTCCTAGGGAGAGGATCTTTCCACGTAGGATAAACCAACTCCATGTCAGAGCATTCTCTAGGGATTATACATGTTAGTTTCCTTGCTTAAAAAGTATATAACCTGCAATTTTGATGCTCTTTACTCTGATACATACACTAAATATTACTAGCTAGGAGGAATTTTTTAGACAACTATATGGATTTTTTAAATCACCGTATGGATGCAGACGCTACACTTACCTTTATGAACACCTACACACATATTATCACATTTGAAAGAATGAGCTATCAGATTCTAAGATTGCCGAAGTCATTATAGGATGTGGTAGAAAAGGCGCGACACCTACCACTAAATGAAAATCATTATTAAATTCTACAATAAATCCAGATTAACAGCAGCACCCACGTTGAAGGCGAAAGTTGAACCAATTATTAGCTACTCCATTCGCCCTTAAATAACTTTGACTAAATATATATATATATAAAATATTAATAGTTATGGTACAAAATTAATATCATTAGATAGATCGTTAAATTTATTTTTTATACTATTTTTTTTGAGATACAAATGTTGCACGTATTTTTTTTTTTATAAATCTAGTTAAACTTGTGACACGAAAAAAAAACGACAGTTATTTAGGGATGGAGGAAACTACGAGCTGTAGGTTTCACCCAGCTGAGCTAGGTTCAGTATGCTGCAGATTGAGGCAATGCAGAAATTAGTCCGGCCGACTGATTGTAGATTGACATGCATACGTACTATTATTAACATGTGGGCCGGCTGCAAGCCCTAAAACTCAAACGAAAAGCTGGAGTCTATTTGAGGAGACGACCGATGACCCGAGAAAAATTGGGCCAAGCACAGGAGCGCAGAGATAAAACTCTCTTTTTCCTTTGCGTCATATCATCACATGTCCTAGAAGACAGCTACTGCTACCAGTAGACGACTCCAGCCATAGGTAGCCAAGCCATCAGTAGGACAAATTCCATCACCGATTGACAGCAGCTAGGCTAGAAAGCACCCAGAGCGAGAACGGCATAGATGCCCGGAATCTTGCATGCAGGACAGACCTACCCCCTACCCCCTACCCGGGCGCCCAAGCCGCCCGTGTCTATGCTTGTTTAGATTAAGTTTTTTCACTCTCCATCACATTAAATCTTTAGACATGTATAGAGTATTAAATATAGATAAAAAATAACTAATTATACAGTTTGATTGTAAATTACGAGACGAATCTTTTGAGCCTAGTTAGGTCATGATTGGATAATAATTGTCAAATACAAACGAAAGTGCTACAGTGCCCAATACTGATTCCTAACCCCAATCTAAATAAGACCTTAGTTCAAAAAGAGTTCAAAAAAAAGTGCTAAGTAGCCATCACATCGAATTTTACGATACGTATATGAAGCATTAAATATAGACGAAAAAAAACTAATTACATAGTTTGGTTGAAAATCACGAGATGAACATTTTGAGCCTAATTAATTCATGATTGAACACTAATTGCCAAAAAAAACGAAAATGCTAAAGTAATTCCAAAGAACTAAACACGGGAGACACACTGCTGGGAGAGGATGGGATGGGCGGAGAGAACTGGCCGCACCGGACGTCTCACGTCTGTCTGAACCTGGACGACACGCGCGCGCGTGGTCGCGGTCGCTGAGCTGGCCGGGCAACCATAATTAAGATTCTCGACGAGACAACAGACGAGCAAGCAAAAGCACACACGCACGCTAGTTGCAACCTGCACCTTCACGCCGGCCGCCGGCAAGCAAATCTACAAGCTGCTAGGGTATTGTCCGGCGTCGCGCTGCTTGCATGCGTTGCCTTCCTTCCGTGGCCGGCCGGGGGACAGGCTGGGGACGGACGGACAAATCAAAGGGAGGTGGTGGCGCTGGCGCAGTAGTGCAGGAAGGAAACGGCCGAGAGGCGCTGTCGTCCCGTCGTTCTTCATCGCGCCCTGGTCTGATCTTGCGTCGCCGTCTCTCGTCTGTCTGAGACTCTGGCGAGGGAAAACAGGAATAAAGTGGCCATGATGCATGTATACACGTAGGTAGAGACAGAAAGGGGAGTGTGAGGGAGAGAGCTAGTCTACAATACTACATGCAGCCAGTAGTAGAGAGAGAGAGATCAGAGAGCGGCGGGTGAGAGACATGCGAACCTTTCAGCTAGAAAGGGAATCTGTGCAGGACAGGGGGCCAGCAGCAGGGCACAGTGCAGGCTGGGCAGTGTATGCTCAGCTGCCTGCAACTAGCAGGGACAGCATGCAACACCAAAACACACCATCGATATGCGAGAGACGGAGAGAGGGAGAAGCGTGGCGTGATTGGGGAAGCTTGGTGTTGCGTTGCGGCCCCTCAGCCCTGGCCGCCAACGCCCCTTTGAGGCTTTGACGATCGATCGTTCTTGCTCCCTCCGTAAAAAAAAAAAAAACAGATTTGCTATCCGTTATGCGGTTGTTTCGGGAGAAGGCAGCAACCGGATTTTTGTCCGTCCATTGCGTGTGATGATGTGCGATGGTCGTTCGATTGCGCTGACACACATCCGTCCGGTCCCAAACCAATCACCGCTTCGCCGCAGGCAGCCCAGCAGCAAGCTAGCATGCATGTACGCACGCAAGCACACGGGCACACGGCGGCATGGATGCGGCAGCACAGCAGCGCGCGCTAGCTCCACGTACGCGGCCCGGCCTCCACCAGCGCAACTTGGGTGGCTGCCACCGTTTGATTTTGTTTTTTTAATTTCTAAAGAATTTATGAAGAATTTGACATATTTGACATGTATTTCTCTGATATTTACAATCCATAAAAATAATTTATAATTTTAGTATATATTTGTCTAAGATATGCAATTATCCTCAAATTATATTACTATATCCAATAATTTACACTGAAGAAATCATTGTAAATATAGTAATAAGACGGTGTAAATATAACTATAAGACAGTATAAGTGTATGAAAAAAATCTAGTTGTTGTGAGGGGCTAAAACAACCAGTTATTGGTTAGACAACAACTGGATGGTGTTGAACAGTGTCTTACTCTTCCCATAAATTGTTCCATAAGATTTTGCTGACTTCTTAATTCTTATCTGTAACATGTCTTAACAGTTTAATTTGTTAATGAGATTAGTTACAGTTTCAACCAAATTAAGCTGTTATCAGTCACTTAACATTTAGCTTTTATCATGTTAGTTGATGCCTTAGATTCTGAGCATGGTAACCTAGGAAATTTGTGCATTCTAGAATGAACTGTTAAGGATTGCCCCCGTGAATGGTACTGTGTGCATACTGGACTGAGGATTTTGATTTTAGTTTCTGTAAATTAAATTTGATTCTGAACCAGTTTTTCTAGGATGCTAGATGTACTCTTGTTCATGAGTATACCAAATCTAACATCTCTTGTCTGTTGTACTTCATGCCCTTTTTCGTTCAATGTCATGTTTATATCACTATATGTGTATTTTATTGTAAACCAGGTAATCTCTCCTAGTGGTCCGTATGCTTTGTTCATGAAGTTTCATGATAATAAGATTGCCTTCTATTATAAGCTGGGCTAGTAAACATTTGTTAGAATCAATTTGTGAATCATGGTTTCTGGGTGATACTTTCCTTGACTCTGAAGACGTAGCCTTGCCATATGGCGTACAGTTGCTACTTAAGTGTAGATGGATTGGAAATCTCTTAGTGTTAAATCAATGATCTTCATTGATGGCTACTGACTCACTAAGTTTATCTATTAACACTAATTGCATCCCTTGGCATTTTACGAAAATAATGCATGAGTTGCAAATATAAGCACTGCTATTTTATAAAAAGAAACCCACCGGTGTTATTTGGTTTTGTTCTAAGTTCATATTTTCCTGTAACCTTGGTCCTTGCTTGCCACCATTGGGTCTATCCAATAGACACCATTTTACCTTATTATTTCCCTCTGTTAAAGCTACTTTGTTCTGGACATATGTGAATACTTTTCGCCACTGGCAACAAACTTGCTCTAAGGTATCATCCGAAGGAATTTTTAGACTTTCACCTTGTATTATAATGTTTGTACTCTGTATGTAACCTATTGGGAAAGATTGGGTTGGATCTCATCTCCAATTTGTGCTGTTTTCAGGTCTTCCAGCTGAGACACTCGTCGAGCGGTATGTGACAGTGGGCGCCTACTGTCTGCTGCGCTCTTGCACCATTGAGCCCGAGTGCATCATTGGCCAGCACTCTATCCTCATGGAAGGTTCGCTGGTTGAGACCAACTCAATCCTTGAAGCTGGCTCTGTATTGCCCCCAGGAAGGAGGTTTCCAACCGGTGAACTCTGGGCTGGAAGCCCGGCTAGGTTTGTTCGGAAGCTGACCAATGAGGAGATCATGGAGATTCCAAAGCTCGCAACTGCCATCAACGATCTGATGCAAAGCCATTTCTCGGAGTTCCTGCCTTACTCTAACGCTTATTTGGAGGTAGAGAAGTTGAAGAAGTCGTTCTCGATCCCCCTGTAAGAGCATGTTGCCCCCCTCGTCCAGTTGAATGAATGAGGAAATAAAGGTTCCCAAATACTAGATGTTTTGTATTGAATCAAACTTCTACTCTGGGTTGGATCTGTTCTGATCAATTTTTTTTTGTTCATTGTTGTTGTGAGCAAGGGGACACGTGCAGGAATCATGTCTTCGTATCTTTTTACGTAACCCAATGAACTATCCTTTTTTTTCATTCTGTGTTGATTTCAATTTTATTACGCAAAGGGAAATGCTAAAATTACAGACTTCACAGTTTGCTTAAGTTGCACTTGACATGGCGTGCCGACGTCGCCCAAAACCTCCGGTTTTTTATTAATATTCTCGGTGCCGGTTCGCCGCATGGTCAGATTTGGTTGCCACCCGATTTTTTTTATTATATTTTTTGTAAACTAATTTTAAATCTAACACTGTCTAAATTTCCCCCCCTAAAACTAACACTTTTGGCCGCGCCTATTGACATGGCGCGGCGAAACGCCTGTGCCGCGCCATGCATGGTGGCGCGGCGATAGGGATGACGTGGCAACGACCGGGTCGCTAACCGGTGACGTGGCAGGGTCTGCCGCGCCACCGATCTTGGCGCGGCTTTGCCGCGCCCTGATCGATGGCGCGACAGAGCTGGATAAAAGGTCCGCGCCCGATCCCCGCCTCCGCGCCATTCGCTGCTGCCGCTCAGCTAGTCCGCCACGCCACACGCGCCCGCCTGCCATGCCCCCCTTTGCTGCCACTCCCAAGTCTTTGTCGGGCGCCGCCGGCGCTCTATTGCCGCCTCCCTCTCTCCCTTCCCTTCCGTTCCCTGGCCGCCTCCCTCCCTCCTCGGCCTCGTTCAAGGTAATGACGCACTTTTTATTTTCGTTTGAATGCTGGATTAAAATATTATGAATGAGATTTAAGGTTAGGAGGAAAATTATGTTGAAAACTATGGACTATGGTTTGGAGGAAGATATTAGTTTGATTTTGTCGATGTTAAGGTTAATTATTTAGTTAGAATTATGCTTACCATGTATATTTTTGTTGCTATAAGTGTTGGTTATATTATTTGAGTTGTAATGCAAATGATTATATTTTACATTAATTTGCGTTGTTTTGATTGATGTTTAATTTGAACCATTTTATTAGATGGAAGACATGTTTCCGGAGCAGTTGTGGCGAAAATGGGATCATCCTAGAGAATTGTACCTCGACGAGTCTAGCAAAGATGCCCCGTCCCTCCTGACCTCCCTGTCCCTAACTGTGACTGTGGTTGTCCGATCGACGTGTTTTAATCGAGACATCCGGACACAGCGGCTCATTGCTTCTACACATGCAGTCGTTTTAATGTAAGTAATTGTTTCCGTATATTTTTTTTTTCATTTGTATTACTAGGTTACTAATATTTTGTTGGAATTTTATTGTGTAGGCCTATGAGAGGTGTTTTTTTTTCATGGATCGACAGTGCAAACAAGTTTGACCCCAGTACATCCTTTTCGACGATTGGTGGAGAGGGCGACATCCACGAGAGCACTTTGAGCGGTGGGTTCCACCTCCCCCTAACCACCCTGCAATGATGGCTAATGAGAAGCACTTAGCCGCAGTTAGACGACTCGAGAAACCTCCTCTGTGTGATTGCAGAGATTGAGCTGTGATAAACCCTGAGAATACGTTGGAGTTTGTGTGTCCAAACAAGCATGAAGTAAGTGCAAAATATATGTGTTCAAATGTTGAGCTATCTGTGTTCATGTATTAATGTCACCTTATTTAGGTGTTTTCAATAGCGAAGTGTCGTTTCGAGAAGTGGTTGTATGGTCCTAAGAACCAATGGCCAGAAGAACCACCAAAGGTTAAGGAAAAGAAGAAAAAAGGGTAATTTACAAAGCACCTCCTGTCATGTGCGAGTATGGTGTTAAATCCAACTATAGCCTAGTCTTTTGGAGCTTGGAATAGGCCATTATTGCGGTCATATGGTTAACTATGATGAGGTTGGTTATTTTTGTGGTAAACATTAAATCGTATTTTATTTCTTTTGCTAAGACATATGATATAATTTTTCGTTTGAACAGAGCACTAGGAAATGCAGGTGGAAATGCTATGATGGTCAAGCTAAGTTCTTGGATGAACTGAAGGGGAGGCAAGTAATTGCACGGAAGAGAAGATATGGACCTGACTACGTCAACCTATTCATTAAACATCACAAAGATAAGATGCGTGAGTTTGCTAGACTACGCGGTATTCGTAACCCGATCGATGTTGGGCTTGACAAATGGGGATTAGAGAGACAGAGGGTGTTAGAGGAGGAGAGAGCAAGCAAGGAGGCAAGGGAGGAGACAAGAGTACAGATGCAGGTCTTGAACGAGCATGTTTTTGCATTATGTGCCAGTGAGTGTGTAACAGAACCGACCAATTATACGAAATTAAGTAAGAAAATCAACCGCCAGAGCAGACGATTTAACAAACTTAAGTCCGTATAACCCGGTAGTCCATGAAATCACGAAGGATTTCAAACCAACTCACATACCAACCAAGATCGTAATAAGTTTAGCGGTCACCATCACATATTACATAAAAGTTTGCATCATAGGTACATTAGAGTTTAAACATAGTTATTACAAACCGAGTTCAAATAGAAGTAGCGGAAGCCCTTTGTTCAAAACCACACACACTCACACGGAGTTCAAGTACAGTGCCAGCTGATGATCATCTCCAACAAAAGCATTAGACGAGACGTAAGGAATGACAATGCCCATGGTCCTAAGCATGACCCATCATAGGATAAAGGCAGTTGATACAGTAGCCGTAATACATCTGCCCATCTACGACAAGTGGGAACAAAACCCTGAGTACGAGAAGGTACTCAGCTTCACACTCCTTTGTCCACACGAACTTGTGATCTTTCTATAGCAGACTTATCATTGGCTTGGCAATCTTTGAGAAATCTAGTATGAAATGGCGATAGTTACCAGCTAATCCTAAGAAACTTCTAACCTCAGGCACTGTGGTCGGTGCCTTCCAATCCATAACCTCTTGCACCTTACTTGGATCGACTGAAACTCCATTTTCTAACAGAATGTGACCAAGGAAAGGAACTTTCTTCAACCAAAATTCGCACTTGCTAAACTTAGCATACAACTTATGATCTCTAAGTCTGGTCAAGACAATTCTCAGATGCTCTTCATGATCCTTCTCGTTCTCGGAGTACACCAGAATGTCATCAATGAACACAACCATAAACTTATCCAATTCTGGCATGAAAATTGTATTCATCAAAAACATAAAGTATGCAGGAGCATTTGTCAAGCCAAAGGACATGACAAGATACTCGTATAACCCATATCTGGTGGAAAATGCGGTTTTCGGTATATCTTGTGGCCTAATCTTGATTTAATGGTAACCGAATCTCAAATCTATCTTGGACAACACCTTAGCCTTGGTTAACTGGTCAAACAGAACGTCAATATGAGGCAAGGGATACTTATTCTTGATGGTTACAACATTAAGTGGCCTATAATCCACGCACATTCTCAACGTGCCCTCTTTCTTCTTCTTCACAAACAAGGCGGGACATCCCCATTCAGACTTGCTTGGCCGGATAAACCCCTTTTTCGATAACTCTTCTAGTTGCTTCTTCAGCTCAACTAATTCATTCGGAGGCATCCGATAGGGTCTCCTTGAAATCGGAGCTGTTTCGGGGATTAACTCAATTCCAAACTCAACATCCCTATCTGGCGGAAGACCAGGTAACTCATCTGGGAATACATCCGAAAACTCACACACTACCGAAATCTAATGAATAGGAATAACTTCAGTAGCACATGTCACACTTATAAGGTCCATTCTTCGAGGCAATGGTACTTGGAAAGTACCCTCACCCTAGGGATCCTTAAGGGTAAGTACCCGACTTTCTGTATCTATAACTACTCCCCAATCCTTCATCCAATTCATCCCTATAATGACATCCAGAACTAGTCCAGGCATAACTATCAAGTTCACTCGAAACTTTCTGCTACCTAATTCAAGGGTCGCCCCTCGAACTATCTGATTGGTCAAAATATCAGCCCCCGCTAAACTTATACGGTAACCATAACCCAATTCTGTGCATAATTGTTCATGTTTCCGTGCAAATGCTTGACTCATAAAAGAATGTGATGATCCAAAATCAAATAGAACAACTGCAGGGTGTTGGTTGATAGGAAACTTACTAGCGGTTACGGGCTCTCCCTCAGAAATCTCATCCATAGTCGTACTATGCACCCGAGCAGTATAGGTCTGCTGCTTCTTCTTGGGCGGATAAGGATAGAACCTTGAGAAGTGGCCGGGTTGATCACAATTGAAGCAGGGTCCCCTTACTGTACCAGCAGATCCCATAGCTCCCTTGGAACTGCCCTGTACCGTAGTTGCGGCTGCCTTGTTGGACTGCACTTCCATCTTGTAAGGCTTCTGTGGTCCCCTGAAATTCTAACCTCTCGGCTGTGGTGGCCTAAACCTAGCGCCAGGTGCAGATGGACAATAGGGAGGACGACCTCCCGCAGATGCTCTTGCTTGGGACGGACCACCTTCTAGTGCTTTCTTGCGAGTCTTGGCTGCGGTACTGGCGTTGTTGTTCTTTTCTTGCTTTAGACAATCACTGATAAAGTCATTGAATCTGGCACGTGTGTTGGTACCCACATGCTTCATCATCTTTGGATTGAGTCCTCTCTTGAAACTAGCGATTCTCTTAGCATCGGTGTCAACCATGTCGGGAGCATAACGGCACAAGTTGTTGAAAGCATGCAAATATTGCGTCACGGTTTTGGTGCCCTGATTCAATGCCAAGAACTTTCCCAACTTCATCTCGGTCAGCCTGGGTGGAATATAAACTCCACGGAAGGTCTCAGTGAACTCTCTCCATGTAATCTGAGCATTTGGAGGGAAGGTGGTGCGATGGTGCTTCCACCACATTCCCGCTAGCCCTTGCAACTGATGTGCAGCATACTCAGTTTTCAGTACCTCAGTCAGCCTCAACACACGGA